AAGAACATTCCACGTGACTACGCTCTGGAGGATTGACTACAAACACGAGAACAAGGAAAATATTTAGGTATAAAATTAAAATTTTAAGCTCCCTTAGATTTATAACTTCTTCATTAAATACGTCTGCAAACAGCAGCCCATAAAAACCTGTAGCAATTAAGTGGTTAAATGAACTGCCTCCCTTGTCAATTTTAAAGGAGTGATTAATATTAGATCGTCCTTTCACTAATTAGACTCTCCCTTGTCTTTCGGCTTTAGCATCGAGTGAAATGGAGGCTGTCTGCTCCAGCAGGAAGCGGGGTAGGCTAACGACGCTTCCCTCACTGGGTCTGAGCGTGGCACCCCCTGAAGGGAGGTGAGCTCCGTGGTTCTCCGTGGCGGTGGGCGGCAGGTGGGGACATGGCTGTGCGCGGAGCTGGAGGGCATGCCGGGTGCCCGTCCATCACGGGAATTGCTGGCTCCTATTTTTAAAAGGCTTGCAGGTCGTCATGCACACAGCATGAAATCTACTACCATCAAGGCCACTGTCTCCTGGCCATCAGTCCTTGAGACGCGGGACAGATTGGTCTGTGAGCGAGGCAGGGTGGGGCAGTGGGCGGGGAGGAGCACAACCCGGCGGGAAAGGTACCTGAGACTCGGGAATTGTTGCAGAAGCTGCTGCCGGCTCTGCAGGGCCGGCCGGGCGCTCCCGCCGCAGCGGCGGCGGCGGTGAGGATGGGGAATCCATCAGATGGAGAAATGGGGCGACTGCTTACAAGGGAAATAAAGAGCGGCAGAGACAGAGAATATTTATATGCCCATCTCCGCACTCAGAGAGAAGATGCTTCATCACAGGGGTCGGCTGCGAAACCACACTTTCCCGACTCTCGCCTAGAGAGAACCTTTTGTTCTGGCGGCAGCGGCGAGGACAATAAGGCCCTCACCGGGTCCCGGCCCGCGTTGGCCCAGCTGCTGCCCAGCCCCGCGGGGAGGGGCCGGGGAACCTCCCCAGTGCTGCCACAGACGCCCTGGGCCGGCCCCCTGGTTGCCCCGGGGGGCCGAGGGGAAATGAACAAAACCTCACTTTCTCAAGCCTGGGACTAATTTACTCCCCGCAAAGCCCCTGCTACGAGCCGCGGAGGGACACGGCCGGGCGGAACCGGTCCTGCCACAGCCGTCCAGAACCGGTCCTGCCACAGCCGTCCAGGGCCAGGGGCGGTCAGATTTTAATTTATGAATCATGGCTTCATTCATTTTCAACAACCCACCCACACTGCCTGCGCGTATTTCTGTGCTGCGAGAGGTTTCGCCTTTTGATGATATTTTTCCTTCGAAATCTGCTCGATAGCATGTACACTGATTTTAATCATGACCCTAAAACATAACCTTTTTGGGTGTCTTTCATGAAACTTACCCAAGTGCTGCCTTGGCCACGACCCCTGGGGAAATCCTAAACCACGAACCAGGGCTGGGTCCTGGGGGCAGGGTCATCAGGCCCGTAGGTCAGCCGGAGGTGGACACTAGGGGACGTGCCCCAGAGTCAGACCTGGTGGCAGATCTGGCATGCCGTCCTAGGCACCCACGCTCAAACAGTGGCCTCCCTGCTGCCCCACTGCCCCTGGAGTCCACCAGCGTCTCTGCAAACACCTGGGGTCCGAGTGCCCACGGGGCAGGTAGCTCTGGGCCTCGCTGCTGGAGAGCCCCGTCCCAGCGTCACCCTCTTCCTGGAGCTCGCCAGGCCTCTGGGGGGCTGAGGTGCCCTGCCCGCCCACAGTCGGGGTGACACCGCACCTCCTTCCACCTGGTGCTCAACGGCAGGCAGTTCTTGGGCTGGCAGGCTGGGGTCCACACTACGGTGGGGGACACCCGGGGACACTGCTGGAAGGTTCCCCTTTGGTCCCTAACCACCAAGCTCAAGGCTGACAGGCTAATGGGGCTCGTTCATGGAGTGACCTGCCCCAGGGCCCATTGGTGGTGACAGGCACAGGCGTGAACTCAGAAACCTCCCGGGCAGTGCAGGCGAGTCAAGTTCAAGTGGGCAGGAAAGCACGCCCACCAGGGTCTGGACGTGAGCACCACGCTGCCCTCGGGGGCAGGCCCTTCCACGTCCCTCCGCACTGGGGCCGCTGGCCCAGGTTTCCCTGTGAACAGTGAGTGGGGGGCTTGGTGTAACAGTGTAAAATGTGGCAAAATACTAGTTTCCACTCAGGCCGGGGCGTCCAGCCTGCAGCCCAGGATGGCTGTGAATGCAGTCCAACACAAAATCGCAAATTTACTCAAAACATTGAGATTTTTTTTGTGGTGACACGTTGCAATGTATTTAATGTGTGGCCCAAGACAACAATTCTTCTTCCATCATGGCACAGAGATGCCAAAATGTTGGACACCCTGGTTCACCGGGCAAAGAAAGCTGCCCAGCAGAGCTCTTCTGCCCCGGGCCCTCCCCTGCCCCACTGGGGGCCGCCAGACCTGCTGGGAATAAAAAGGAGAAACCGCCCACCTCCCCGGGTCTCCAGCTCCCCCCGCAAATGTGGGTTCAGAGGCTAAAGGGGCAAATTCAGGTTCATTTATGGAGAAAACCCTCTGACTTTGCAGAAGACGGAGCCGCCCGCCAACACGTGTGGGTATCAACACACCAATCACCATTACGTGCACGCGGATGGCCGGTGTCAGCGACGTGCAAATGCCCTCATTAGATGCCCGACTCCACAGCGTTCTGGACTGCGGGATATGTGCGATGGTTTCACACCCTATTTAGCATTTCTGGCCTCTCCCCACCTCCCCGCATTTCAAACGCCACTTTAACTTCCCTCCACAGAGAATACAGACGTGTGGTTCCGCCCACCACCAAAAACCAGAAATAAAGCTGGGCTCGGCCAACCAGGGTGTCACTGCTCAGCCACCAGCTCAGAGCAGTGTGCCACGTGGCATGGGCTGGACTCACACAGGTTCACAACCCCCCCGCTCCCCGCCCCCCACCGTGGATGGGGAGAACAGTGATGGCCGTGACTGTGACCGTGACAACAGCAGCAGCGAACTGAACAGCAGCCAGGCAGGCACTGTCCTAAGCCATTCACAAGACTCAGTCAAACCCCATACATGCCACAGGGTAATAAGCATCTTTGCTACTATTCCAATTTCACAGAAGAGGAAACTGAGGCCCGGAAGACTGACATGGAAGAGCTTGGACTCACGCCCAGGGCAGAGCGTCCGACCTCAGACAGGACAGTCCGACCGCACGCGGCTTTGGGCCGGACTCCCGTCCTTAGAGCAGGGACAGGGCTGGGCCGGCAGTGGTTTCTGCCGCCGGCACAGGCCCTGCCCCGGGCCCCGCCTACCTCACTCCATCCTGGACTTAGAGTCACCTACCTCATCCTGTGACTTGAGGGCCAGGGTCAGAACACAGGTCCACCAGCCCCCCACACCCCACTGTCCCCACCAGCCCCTCAGAGGTTCATGGAGCCACAGACTTCAATTCCTAACGGAGAGGATTTGGAGTTTGACACGCTAGGTCTCACACTCGGCCCGGGCTGAGCCTCCACTTCCGCCCCACGGGATGGGGAGGAGCAACGCCCACTTGGTCAGCGTGGGGTGACTGCCATGGCCCAGTGGGCCTCGGAGGACCCCGGGCAGAGAAGGCAACACTCAGACAGGGGCCCCGTCTCCAGCACATGCCAACTCACTACACCCAGCCCCCGGCAAGGGGCACCCATGTGCCAGCGCTTTTGACATAACATTCCTCTGTATTCGTGAAGACCCGGGAGATGGGTTCCACCGAGATTCGGGCTCTGCACAGGGAGGGGGCGTGACTTGCCCCCATCAGTGTGGAGCGGGGTTAGACCGCTTTATGAACTTGACCATGCTCAACAGGCCACAGGCTGTGTGCCCCTGCTCCACCGCCCGCAGCCGGAGCAGGACGCACCCCCGAGTGCCGCGGGGAGCGGGGCCCCACGCACGGGCAGGCCGTGAGCGGGCTCTCCCGGTTCCGAGAGGGGCGAACGAGGGACTCTGTGCGCGTCTCTCTGACGCGCTAGCCAGCCGTCCCTTTCCCTCAGTTCACTCCGCTCCCCCCCGCCGCCCCGCAAAATCTACAGATGACAGTCAAGTCGGTTTTTACGACTTACTGCAAGTCAGAGACCAAGGGGACTTTTTTTGTCTTGTTTTTGTTGTGACAGGTTTGGAAATGTGTTGTCCCACATCGATTCGGTTTTCCCTGATTCCAGCCATCTTTCGATAACGGGGCCTGCTGCTGCGGGCGGGGCGCACAGGGGAGAACCCACAGGGGAGGCCGGGCTGCGGCAATGGCCCCACCGCTTCCGTCGTCTCTGAGACAAATGCCCCTCTCCGAGGAGCGCCGGCTGCACGCGTGCAGCGGCCGAGCCGCGGCCCCACACAGCGGACGGCGCGCGCGCCCGGGCTGTCCCAGGGAAGCGGGGGCACGCGGGCGTGCCTGACCTCCGGTCCGACTCCTGTATCTCAGCGCCCTTTCGTCCGAGCTGTCACGCGTGCCCCTGTCTGGGGTTCCTTTACTAGGAAAGCACCCAGACTGTTCCAACCCAAGCTGCCAGATGGGGTGGGGCTCATCACACACGGCGGGGTGCACCCCGACCCTGCACACCACGTAGGGGCTGGGACACGTCCCCAAGCCCCTATTGGTGGTGCGTCCTGCAACAGAAGGTGGCGGAAAAGTCGACTCCATGCCCATCCCCCAACTCCACCTTCTTCGAGCTGAGACATTTTTAAACATAAAGTGCAAGGGATTGTTCTGTCTGTCCCTAGAAACCTTCTGACTTAGAGAGGACCAGGAGATGCTGGTCATCTTTGACTTGAAGTCACAACCACATTGAATGTGTTTCTTTTCCCAAGCAATATCTGTGAGTGAAACAGAAGCGCGTTTCTCAGAGTGGTGCCCCATGCCCGGGTCCTTCCTGCCCCTGGGACGGCCCCCGACGAGAGGAGAGACCCAGGGGTGAGCGAGGGACGGCTCGGGCCCCCTCCCCCACTCCGAGCCACTTGCTTACCTCCTTCTCAATCTCCGCCAGGGATTTGATGGTGATTCCCAGCAGGTCGAAGGGCTGCATCTGCGAACACAGACCGAGTCCTCCCGTCAAAGGGCTGCAAAACGCTCCCTCACACTGACGCTGGCCGCACAACCGTGTGAAGCCCACACCGTGTGTGACCTCGTGTTTTCTCCACGCCCTCCCCACGGAAACCCGTCAGCGTGGCCCTGGGGCGGTGAGTGAGGGCAAACGGCCCGGGGAACATACGTCCAGAAGCCCTGTCCGTGGGGTCCATCCCTTCCAGAAGAGACCCCTGCTTAGTCATCGGCCTTCAGCACCCAGGAGGGTCACGGCCGCCCTGAAAGGCAGTGACTGCCACCAGTAACTTCCGCCTCTGCTCCCTGCCCACGTGAAAAGCCAGCTTGCTTTCCTTTGGCAGCTGTGGGGCTGGAGCTGCCCCAGGCTTCACCAGAGGCCGCCCTGACTGCTGAGTCTACGCGGTGGAATGTTCCTAAGGAATTCCAGGAGGCCGGAGTGAACCGCTTGTCGGGGGCTCCAGGTGTCTGGGGAAGGAGCCGGGGGAATGCCAGGCCTTTGAAAATGGCAAGGTGAATGAAACAACTGCCCATCAGTTATCATGTGCGGAATCAATGGCGGTGAAAAATAGTATTGCATTTCCATGGGTGTTTCTGTAATTTCATGAATATGGGAGATGACTTTAACAACAACAAAAAAAGATGCTGGCTTTTCAAAACAGCATGAAAAATCAAACACACATGGCACTAGAGCCAGCTGGAGGCCCAGAGAAGTCTGGGCTGAAACGCATGGTGGGGGCGCAGGGGCCTGTCTCCGAGGCCCCCGCCTGGTCCCCTGGGGCGCCCTGGCGTGCTGTAGTCCCAGGCCGGCGGCTGGCAGCAGGGGGTGAACAAGCGGAACCTGAGCGCCTCCTACAAACCCCAGGGCCTTCGTGGTTCGGAACTGCAGCCCAGAGGAGGGGGCAGAACCTGAGTCTGGCCGGTGGGGTGGCCTGCCAGGCGAGGTTAGAGAGAGGCCGGCAAGGACCGGGACTCAAACCCGGGCCCCGCGCCTCCTGGCGGATGCAGCCGCAGGTTAAATCACTTCCTCGTTTCCGCTCCTGTTAAAAAGCGGCGTGGGCGGCCCTCCTGGCCGGGCTGCTGCGAGGATTAAACGAGCGAGCGAAGCACAGGGAAGCGCTTGGCACCAGGCTTGGCGCGGGTCCGCGCGCCTCGAGCACTTGCTGAGTCGGCAGCGCCCTGGTAGCAGCACATTAGCGAGGGCGATCTTGGGACAGGGCCACCGAATTAGGCACTCGGCTCCCGGGGCTGCGCTGCCAGTAGCCAGAAAACAGTCCGGCTCTCACCTGCTGCCAGCCCGGGCGGTGCGCGCGGGGCCGCCTGCCCGCGCTGCGCGGGATCCAGCGGAGGTCCAGCTGTTGGATCATTAGGCTCTAGCTGCCCCGCTAAACTTTCCCGACTGGAGCTGGTGCGCAGGACAGAACAGCCTCTCCCGGGGAGCGGGCAGGAGAGGCGCCAGCGTCGCCATGGCAACGCGGCCAAGTGGAGTCGGCTGAAGTTACTCATGCTCCGCATGTCGCGTCAGGAGCATTTTTCAAGATTAAGCTGCTTACCAGAAGGGTTCAGAGGAGGCCTATTATATTTCATGAAAATGGAAACTACAGAGCAGGTCAAATCGCAAGCCGGGTGGCTTTAAGCTGGATCCAAGGAAAACACTGAAGGATTCTTTAGCTGGTGCCCAAACCAGGGCCTGCACATTTATTAGCCGCTCAAAGCGAACTTCTTCAGAAAGGATAAAAAGAAACAAAACAACAACAACAACCCAGAAACAAGTCTATCGAGCCAGCGTGGGCCAGGCTGCAGAACTGAGGGGGGGGCCACTGCCATCAGGGGGTAGGGGGGAGGCACCACCAGAGCGAGGGCCCCCGGGGGTGCCCGGCGGGGCCTGCAGTCCCAGCCCACAGCCCCCCAGTTCCTGCGTGGTGGCGCCTCTCAGGGCTGCGCTCTGGCCCTCGGGCCCAACCAGCTTTCTCAGCACCTTGGCCGCTAAAGACAGCCGGGGGGCCTGCTGGGGCCTCTGCCTGCTCGCGTGTGCCGTGGTGCCAGGGCCGGCCGGTGCTGGGCGGGAAACCCACCGCTGCGAGACCCTGCATGGCAGGGCCAGCCCAGCCCTGCGTGGGCCTCCCATTACAGGGGAAGAAATGCGGTGGCCTCCCTTTTGTAGGACACCGTCGTCGTTAAATAAAAAAGAACAAGAATTAAGCTGAACTTGGCAACCAAGTGAGGTTCGGTTCAATCAACCACCACATCTGAAACAAAAAGGCTCGGCTGCGTCCGGGTTTGCGGGTCTGTCTCACTCCCCCTTTGATTCATTCTCGAGTCCCTGCAGTGGGCAGCCTTAGCCGAAGGGGCTCGGAGGGGAGGCCCAGAGGGGCCTTGACCCGCTCCCAGTCCTCAGGCAGCCTGCGCAGGGCTGAGCTCCCACCAGGCCCGGGAGGACGCGCCTGCAGAAGTGACTCTCGCAGAGCCAGGGGTGCGGGGGCCGCCAGGAGCCCTGCGGGCCACCGGGCAGGGGCGGTGGGAGGGAAGGGAAGTCATGCGTAAAACTTACATTTTCTGGAACACAAGAAAACTTCTCTGAGATCATAAAAGGCACACCATCCATTGCTACAAAAGAAGAGAAAAAAAAGAGAAAATGGCATTGTAGGCACCGTGTGCAGCAACTGGGACATCGACAGAGCACAAGCCAGCGGGTGGCTGGAGCCACCGCCCCGCACGCAGGTGAGCGGGCCTCGGGGCGGACATGCGCACAGGGGCCGTCCCTGCTCCTGGGACACACAGCTGGTGCGGGAGACAGGCGCCCGCACCTCCCCTGAAGACCAGGCAGTTGTGGGGACAGAGCCGTGGGAGCGGAGGAGGGCCCGGCGTCCACCCCCGGAGCCAGGCCTCCGGCCTGCGAGCAGTGGGGCCACGGAGGGCTGCCCGCAGGACAGCGGTGCAGGGGACCGAGAGGGGGCAGCGCCGTGCTTGCGAGGCGGGCCGCGGCGGGCGCGTCAGATACTCTCGCAGCTGACAGCATCACCTCCCGGGCTGCCAGGCTCACAGGAGATGCCTAGGTTGGAGGACAGAGTGGTTCTGGAGTCAGACAGACTGGCTTTGGATGAGCTCCTTAAGCGGGGTTTCAAAGGAGGACGCACGGCCTGCGGTAGAAGTGCGTGTGAGCGGGCGGTGCACGCGGTGCCTGCCCAGCGCCCGGCACAGAGCAGCTGCGGGGCGGCCCGGCCACCCCCGTGAACCTGGTCCCAGCCCTGCGCAGCTCACCGGCCGGCCTGCGTGATCTCACAGGGCGGCACAGACAGGGCAAGGAGGGTCTGCAGACACGTGTGGGGAGAGTGTGTGTGTTCCTGCTGTGTCCCCAGGTCGCTGCCATCAGACGCACGTGGAGGAAACCGTGACCCGGCACTGCCCCCACTAGCGTGTCCTCTCCCAGGACAGGCACACGTCGTGAACGCAGAGTCAGAGAAGGACTGGAAGCACGTCTGTGCCGGAAAGCTTGGCACGGCGGACAGGTCCCGTCTGACAGGGCTGCACGCACGAGGGGCATGCCCAGGGCGAGGCTCCCAGCCCCGGAGCGTCGGTCCGAGGGCCCAGCTTCTCCATCAGAGCTGAGAACAGGCCTCTGCCGCCCCACGCTGGTTCCAGCCAGCGGGCTGGGGTCTGCAGCCCAGCGGCTGGCGTGGGGGCCTCACCCGGCGGGCAGACTGGTTTCTGGTTTGGGGAAGAAATGAAGCGACGGAACAAAAGCCACGGTGAGTCAGTTTCCTGGGAGATGTGTTCTTTGCTCCCCCCAACATCTGAAACGGGGACTCCTGGGATCTGTGAGTGGTGGGCAGTTTTTCTGAGTCCTGAGAAAGAAGAGTCCCTGATGCAGAATGAAGAAAAGCCACAGAAGAGGAAATAAAAGAAAGGAAAATAAATCTGGGACGAATCCTCTCTGAGCAGCCAAATGAACCAAATGGCTCACTTTAAACCACATTCATAATTTATTTCAGGGAAGGAAAAAAAAAACCCCGAAACTTTCCCTGGTAAGTCTGAAGAGGAAGAACCAGCTCACCTGGCCCCAGCAGCTGCCTGGATCCCCGAGCCGCCCCCCCCCCCCCGCCTTTTCTGCAGAAGACTGCTGTCCCAAGTGCGGCCGCCGGCCGGGACAGACACCTGCGGTCTCCCATCCCAGGACCTGCTGCGCCAGCCGGACGCAGACCGGCTGAGGACTGCGAACAGAGCCACGCTGCCCCCGAGGAGGGGAGAAGCCCCGGATAACCTTACACAGCAGGTCACCTCAAACACGCCAGCGAGAGCTGAGTGTGCGTGCTCATCCACAGCTGGGAAACCGGTGACCGGGCCACCAGGCCTTCCAGGGAGGGGCAGGACCAGGTCCCGCTCGAGGTCCAAGAGGAGGGCACGCTCCCTCCCCAGCTCCTGCCCCCACCCCCCCATCTGCCCGATGTGGACTGACCCCACGTGGCGCCGACCGCCTGCCCCTTCCCTGGGCATGGAGAAAGGTGGGCACGGGGTACTCGCCCTTCCGGTCGTTCCGCACGAAGACCAGGGGTCAGAAGCTCAGACGGGTCGAGGTCTGCCAGGGTCACCCAGGCAGCAAGCAGGGACTCCCAAGTGCCCCGGGTAGAAGTGGAATTTCTGCACACAGATTTCCCGCTTCGCCCACACCAGGCCCGTCAGGGTTCTGACGGCCGTTGTCACGCCCTCCCCAAGTTCTTCCCATCAGGCCTGCGGGCCAGGAAGGGCCCGTGGGCGGGAACGGTTCACACGCAGACAGACCCACGGTCGCCTTCTCCCCAGACCCGCTCTTCCTTGGCCTTCCCTCCCACCGTTACTGCGCCGCCCTCCTCCTGGCCACTCCAAGTCAAGCGCTAGAAGCCACGGCCTTCTTTGCTCCTCCTGTAAAGTCCCAAAGCCCCCTGCTGTCACCTGCTGTGGCCACGCCACCTCTTTACACACACACAGTTCCTCCCGGCTCAGGGGGCACGCCCACTGCCCGCCTGGTGGGCGGTTTCCCGACAGCACCCTCAGCACCCTCACCACGCTGAGAACCGCACCCCCCCTCCACCGCCTTCACTAGGCATTCTGCCTCCGGCGTTTTAGAGGCCTTATTAGCATTTGGGGGTTTCTGTTAAGATACAGTGACACACGCCCTCTCCCTGGCGACAGTTCTTTCTGTCTAAATGTCAACGCGTGTTTAGAGAACTTATGTTCTGAAAAGGTGGTAAGGTGACCTGCAAAGGCCTGACTGCTCCCGGGGGAAGTGAGCCGGGAGGCACTGGGGTGGGAGACGGAGGCTCCTCCCAGCCCCGGGCCCAGCCACACCCGCCCTCCAAAGAGAAGAGAAAGGGCGAGTTTCCCAGTGAGGGGGTCCTCACTGGCACATGCGGCCCTGCACCCTGAGTTGTCCATCTTCACAGAATGCCTCCTCCCTTCACCCCTTATGTTTTCACTGGCCATCCCTCTGGGGTCTGCCCAGAGAGCCCCTCCTGCGAAAGCCAACGCCCCGAGGGCCTCCCCCCACCCCGTACATGTCCAGCACCACGTCTCCGCTCCTGGCGGCCCACTTGTGAATCTCCTCCGCATTCCCGTGTCCCTGGCACAGGGCACAGGGCACAGGGCACAGCCCAGAGGGCCTCGTGCAGGGACAGTGATGGAAGCTGCTCCCCACGGGAGTGTCCCCGTGCACGGGGGGCAGTGGGGGGGGGGCTCCAGCCTGGGGCACATACCAACCCCCCTGAAAGATGGTGAGTCACTGCCCACCACACACCCTGCTGGCGGGGAGGCACAAAGCCCCCGGTTTCAAGAAGTTTGGGAGTCCCCTCCAGGGATGGAGAAGATCTGAGCAGGGAGGAGTGCATTGGTTTGTTTTTTCATTTTGATAATTGAGGTTACGTTTGCGTGCTATAAAGTTCACTACTTTAGAGTGAACAGGGTTGGCATGCGGTGCCCTCTCGATGTCACGCGGCCGCCACCTCCGTCGGGCTCACTCAAGGAGCCCCCCACCCCAGGGCCTTAGTGGGCCCCCCAGGAGTGGGTTTTTACCCCTTCTTCCAGCCGGCAGGCGTGCCTCTGAAAAGAAAGGTCTAGGAACCCAGGGCTGGCCTTCTGGGCCGTGCTCGCCCGACCCCTGGCTGGCTGTCACGCGCCTGCCTCTCCCGTTCCGGCGAGATGGGAAGAAGGGTGGTTTGCCCGGGTTGGCCGATGGGCCTGGGAAGGCTGCAAGTCAAAACCGAGGAGAAAAATAAAAGGACTCGGAAAAAAGGAACTTGTAAAACCTGGGTATTAGCAGTAATAGCATTTTTATATGCATGTATCATACTTTGTGTAAATAAACTGTTATGTAGGTAAACGTACGACGTATGTCTGTTTTATATGTTTAGGGAATGTGCAATGCAGGTTCACATTCTGTATCTGCAAACACTCGCGTACACACAAATGCCCACCCACACTCCACATTCTGGGAGACCTAAAGCAGCAGGAACCCGCACGGCCACACGCCCGGCCGGCCGGCCTTCCGCACCCGCCCTGCCGGGGTGACGCCCCTGCTCCCCCACCCGGGGCCCCTGGCGGCCGGTGGGGCGTGGCTAGGGCGGGGCAGGGCTAACCCCCCCAGGGGGCCACAAGGGGTTTGGGGAGCAAAGCACACCTTCTGGCCCTCAGGTGGGCTCCAGCGCGGTTTCCTCACAGAGGCAGCCTGAGGAGGCGGGGACGGGAGGCCAGACGCGCCGTCATTGTGCCCCCAACCCCCTCTCCCCCACCAAAGGCTGCCGTGTGAGGAGAAGGGAGGAAATCTGGGACAAGACACCACGGCATCTTAGAGTTTACGATAGGAACCCAGGCTCAGTTTGACACTCTTCCCATTCTTCTAGAAAACAGAAGAAAAGGAGGCGAGGGGAGAGCATCCCGTGGGCGGGGACCAGGGACGGGGGGCTCACTCCAGAGGAACTAGACTCTTTCATCCGCGTGTGGGGTTCCTGACAAGGCGGCCAGGGTCCCAGGGAGCCCGTGCGAGTCTGTTAAACAGATAATCCTCGAGCCAAGTTTCGTTTATTTAAATAATCGAAAATGCCAACGATTATGGTAGGCTGGAAGGGTGTGGATTTTAGCAAAGCATTTGACAAAATACCTCACGTTACCCAAGTGGATAAGACGGGTAAACACGGCGGGACAACGTTAAGGGTAGGGGAACCCCTAACCGGCTGGACTCATGTACAAGCAGCAGGTTAACGGACTGGTGCTGGCCTCGGGCGACCTCTCCGGAGGGTGCCCGGGACGGCAGCAATCACTGCGACGAAGACGAGCACAGTGTGCGCGTCCAGGATGTGGCCGGGGGGGCAGTCGGGGAGGACGGTCCACCAGCTGGCAACAGAGAGATCCAATAAAGATCTCAGAAAGTCGGGATTACGGGCTAAATTCAACAGAAGAAAGGTCAACGTTAAGTCCTGTCCTTTGGGTGCAAACGCCGATGGTGTTCGATGGAAGGGGCGAGATGCGGAGGACAGGAGCACAGACTCGTCTGTGGTCGAACGCCCCGAGTCCCCATTTAAAAAGCGGGGTGGGGGCGGTGCCATCGTGAGGCCCAGCGCTACCGCCCTGGTGCCAGA